GCAATTTATTCAATAATTCACAGAGAGAGACAAAGGAATGCAACCTTCCCTAAATAATGGCATTGCTCCAAGTAAAGTCCCACCCCACTACATCTCTTCTATTCTACGTCACCTCTGTGTCGGCTAATCTGAGCTTTCTGGCTCTGAGCTCTTGGTTCTACTACCCTCAATGCCTTCCTAGCCCGGTGTGTGTGTGTGTGTGTGTGTGTCAGAAATGCTTTCCAAGGACACTGAGTCTATCAGCTGTCTCTCCCCTGGTGCTTTTTCTTCCTACTGTTTCTCTTCCAGTATATCCCAGCTTCTGCCCTCTGCAGCCTCTGAACTATGCCCTTCTGCAAACCACTGTTCTAAATCTATACTGTCCTCCTATTCTTGGGAAGGTTCAGGAGAAGGGGGGTGGTCCCCACCATTTCTCCTCAGTCCAACCCCTGACAGGCGGAGAGGCGGCAGCGGAGTGCTGCCACCGGGCTCTGCACTCGGCCTCCTTCCCACGGCATGTGCTGGGCAGGGATGGGATGCACGGAGGGTGATCTTCGCCCTCGCTTGTTCCAGCCCCTTCCCGGCTCCTGAGCTCCCAGCAATGGCGGAAGATGTCAGCCCCCTCAATATTGGGGTAGGTGGGTCCCCTGCTTCAAAATATTAAGGGGGCTGAAGCCCCTTGCACACCATATACAACTGGGGGTTGGAGACTGACAGTGTTAAGACATTGGCCATCAGATTCATTCAGAGCTTATTTCCTTAGTTTTCATAGAATCATAGAATCATAGAGTTGGAAGAGACCACAAGGGCCATCGAGTCCAACCCCCTGCCAAGCAGGAAACACCATCAGAGCACTCCTGACATATGGTTGTCAAGACCTCCAAAGAAGAAGACTCCACCACACTCCTTGGCAGCAAATTCCACTGTCGAACAGCTCTTACTATCAGCAAGTTCTTCCTAATGTTTAGGTGGAATCTTCTTTCTTGTAGTTTTATAGCAGCAGCACCAAATTTAGCCACTTTTAAGGTATTCTCTGGTTCCCTGTCCTCTATTATAAATTTTTAAGTAGTGGTTTCTTAAGTAGTGGTTAAGAAAAATTGAATTTGAACTTAACAGCTTTACCAGTAGAGATTTCCCTCTATAGTTGTTTTGTACTGCTGCAAACTTGTGGTTTCCCCCCAAGCCTGCTGATCCACACTTGCGGAAAGTTTGCTAATGGCATATATAGCATTCTTTCCATCGGGAGAAGAAATAACTTTATCACAGAGACCTCCAATATAGTTGTCTCCACCTACCATTAAGACTTACCATTTTCTAAGCTTATTTTGTAATCTGTTTTAAGCCTGCTGCACATTCAAATTGTTCTGTTCTGTTAAGTTGCTCAGTATTCTTCCTTCTTGTTAATCTTTTCATTTTCTACCTGAAGTTTCTGTACTCTTCATACAGATGGTAACCATTTAAATCCTTTATTGTGGTTATTGTTTTTCTGTGCCCTTCCTGTGTGGTCTCATCAGTCTTTTGTTTTCAGTATCATTATGATCTGCTAATACAAACTGTAGCACCAATGGATTTAAGAAGTATGCTTTTGATTGGGAGGACATTGGCATTTACACAATCTGTGACCTGCTTCCCAGAGGGAAAGCAATTTCCAAAGAGGAACAGCAAGGTAAATTAAAAGTAGGACTGCCATACTTCCCTGACATTACCAGGATTTCAAAGGTGGAATTGACATTGGGGGGGGGGGTTCCTAAAGGCGGCACTTTATCCTGCATCTTAGGCAAGCCAATCAAAAAATTGCAGGGTTTTGGCATTCTTGTAAAAAAAAATCAACTCACTAACTTTGAGGTTTGTCTTAAAAAAGCTCACTTCTCGAAATATGGCAACCTTATCAAAAGGCACTCATACCACCTGGTTTCAGGTAGCTCGGGCTCATTCTTTTGCACTTAGTTTGGAGCAAAGGGAAGAGGACCTACGCACACTTATGGTACCTTGTTTGAATCCTTATGCAGCAGACCAACTTATGATTGAAAGGTGCTGCTTCCGAAATATACAGCAATGTATTACATCATGAAGCAGGGGGTGCTAGAGGCCTTCAAACTGTATGGGAATCTGATTTAGGCTACTCAATTGAAAATCACAAATGGGAGGGTATCTGGACCACTCCCCTACTCAAAACCATCTCTACTCGCCCACAAGAGGCCTCACTCAAGGTCATCCTCCGATGCACTGGATGCCAGTCAGGCTGGCAAAAAGTAATCCCTCCCTTTCCCCTTTATGTTGGAAGGGCTGCAGAAAGCTTGGTTCATTTATTCATGATTAGTGGGAATGCCCTTATGTTAAAAGCTTTTGGAAGAGAGTATTCTCCATTATATCCACAATTACAGCCAACCCTTTTTTCCAAATCCTGCCTTAGCCCTAGTATCTTTGGACATAGACTTAGGCTCCACCCTGTGCCACAGTGAACTAGCAGGCTTCTTACTGACCTCAGCACGATTAGCAAGAGCTCAGGAATGGAAAAACCAGACTGAAATACCCCTGAACATATTAGAAAATACAGCAATGTCTGAGTGTTTCACTCAGGAAGGCAATTAAAAGCATAATGAATAGAGACACCTTCCAAGAAACATGGACCCCTTTCTTTAACTATGTTAATGACCAAAATCAAGATCTTCTTATATCAACCTGCTCAACATTCTCAGTGGAGAGGTTATGCCAAGTACAGTAGTACCTCCGGTGATGTAACCCTCTGGTTACGTAAACTTCAGGATGTGAAAGCGGCAAACCCGGAAGCATTTGACTGGGTTTTGCCCTGCGAGCATACACAGAAGCGGTCCTCAGGTTGCAGAAACCTCAGGATCCGACCAGACCTCTGGAACAGATCCCATATGCAACCGGAGGTACTGCTGTAATATGTTTGAATGTTGAACGTATAAGTGTATGTCTAGAAACAATGGATAAAACAAGCACCATTAGTTATACTGCTGGATAAGTGTTTAACGGTTGTTATATTTGTATTCGTATGAAACCAATAACAATTTGTTTTTTTTAAAAAAAGATGTATGATTTTGCTTACTGAATTGTTCAGCTAGTGGTAATTCAATTTAGGCTACTCTTCAGAAATATGACCTTTTCCTTGTTTTTCCCTAGAGCAACTAGACTTTCAAAATTCCTGTACTGTTTATGTCATCCAAGGCTTTTCTTTTGATGATGTGAATTTGAGATTTTATAGCCCCATATATTCTAAGTGGGGCTGAAAAGCCAGAAGCCTTCATACAGTTGTATCCCTCAAAGAGGGATGAGAAATCAGGCACCATTCCAGAAGCAACAACTGCTACTCAAAGTCGTTGCTACTTTGAATGTGACATTGTTGAATATATACCACTTGAAAACAGCCCATTAGTCTGCAACTTTCTGTATCTAACACGGCCAGTTTTAAAACTGGAAATGCGAAGGTGCTGAAACTATGTCTTCACCATCTGATTTTCCATGTGATTTTTATAAGAAACTGCATCAACAGCTTGTGTAGTCCACACTTTATTCTGTTTCACCTCCCAATCAATAATCTACTTAGGGATTTCCTGATATGAAATGCAGTTTGCTTTGACAAACATCTTGCATTATCCTTTTATCCTTCAATACATCAGAATGTTCCCCACTCTAATTGTTGGAGGAGGGGTCCTGAGACTGCAAATTGTGTGCCAGACTATTAGGCTACGGTGCCAACATTGTCTACTCAGAAGTAAGTCCAATTGAATTCAATGCTGCTTACTCTCAGGTAAGTGGGGGTTAGAATTACCGTCTCATTTAGATTAACGGGGGGGGGGGGTGATGGAGGAGAAAATTCATGGTTTTTCTTGTATTAATTGAATACTGTTCAGCATATTGCCTAGATTTTTTTATTATGACTTAAACAAAACACAAAAATGAACTAAGGAAGAAAAACAAAGGAGGACAGCCCATAAACTGCAGAGGAGCAATCACCCATGTACTGGAACCACACAAAGAACAGCACAAGGAACACACAGAGAGAAAAACAAGAACACAAACTGAACTAAGGTACTCAGAAGATACAGTTGTACCCTTCAGACCAGGCTATGGAGTGTTAACAGATTCAGATGTACAGGTTCCACTTGGCATGATTTTCCTGAGGATTTCTAATATTTGACTGTTGTCTCTTGCTCTTTGGATGTGCATTTGTCACATTTGTGGACTTCAGGCTTCATACACCCAGCTTTGGAGTGATACCCACATGGTAGAAACACAGAAGTGCAGTCCCCACCCCCAGTAAGCAATAAACAGATTTGTAGCACAAGGACATTGTATGTATGACTATAGGTCCATTACATGAAATAGTTGCCATTCAAAAAAAAGGAAGAGATGCACAAATTTGGTTTATGTGCATATAGCTGTGATGTGTGTGTGTGTGTGCAGGATGTGTAGGCTTTGTGCTCCCATCCCTCTACTACAGAAAAAGGATTGACAGGCACATGTATGAAATGGCTGAGAGCATGTGGGATTCAGTGCTGGGGCCAGGTTTTGGGTGAGCCTTGGGTGAGATGCTCTTAGTAGGCTTCCTTCCCTAACTGGACACACCACCTTCGTTCTGCTCACTGCCCTTTCACTTCCCTCAGCACCACCTCCCAGAAAGAGAGCTTGTGAATGTTTGTGCTCTGCTTTGCTCTTTTCACTACTTCCTGAGAGGACAAGTAAACAGGTAGCAGTGGCCAGGAGCTTCCAGGGGCCAGTGGTTGCCCATTGAGGGGTCTGTGGGCCTTTGCAGCTACTTTGCAGGTACCAAAAGCCCTTGACATCTACCCAAGTGTTATTTTTATATTTGTGGTGTTTCAACGATGCAACAGAAACAGGAAGTCTACAACCATTCCTGGTCATAACAAAGCTACTGGAAATTGATGAATCGTTCAGTTTAACATTAAAATATCGACAGAATACTGGAAATAGTACATCAAAGAGTCAGCAATTAGAGTTTCAGCCCCATGGAAAAGACGAGTATTTCTGTGGGTGGCATTCACTGTTTTAATTGCAGGCATTACTTGTGGATTTCACCCATCAAATCAGACAAAGGCACCCTAACCACAAAATCATTATGTACTGCTCATTGCATGCCAGCTTCAGTAAGACTAAAAGAAAGCTATGCAGAAATCCTTCACTGAGAAAGCAATAATGTGCTTTTACCGGCAGAAGGAGGAAGAGTCTTAGTTCAGCTATCTTCAATTTATTAGATAATGCTCTGTGACAATGAAGGACAAAGACAATTCACTATGTGCCTGACAATTGATCGTTTCTATGTAAAGCCAAATTACAAATTGCCAGCCTCCCATATTAAAGGATCAAAAAGATTAGTATAAAACGTATTTGGAAAGAAAACTATATATCCATATCAAAATGCAGATTAATAATAGATAAATTTGATTTTCACAGATGAAAGTACCATGAGAAATCAAGTTTTTATAATAGACAATCATATTAAGCATTTGTGCCACATAAAGTGCTCACTATTGAATAAAAATATTGATCAGGATTTTTTTGTGGGGGGAGGACTCCAATGCATAGGGCATCTGCCAAAGTTTCAAGGGCCCAGTGAAAATGTGAACAGCAGGCACCTTTAATTCTGTATGTACATACAGAACCCTAGAAAAATTTATCCATTTTAAACATTTGGGTGCAAAGAAGGAAAGCTAAAAGAATACCACTGCACTGATGTCCAGTTATCCTTTCCCTCATCATGTCTTGGCTTTACCTTGGCCAACCACTTGCATGCTTTATAAAAATCTATCTCATTCAGGACCTCATGTAGACAGTTGCCAGACAGAGGCATCTGGGGAGCCTGCAAGCAGGTCTGGAAGGCAATGTTGTTGTTTCTTCCGAACAACTGACAGTGAGTGATTCTGAAGGTTTATTTAGCCATTGTGGTTGATAGCCAAGGGGAAACGAAACCTATCGTCCACTAAATGTCTCAGTAACCTTTGGTAAAGAAACCCTTCTGAATTAGCTATTATCTTATGATAGCAGATCCCTTACTATGGCTTGAGTGAAGTATCAGTCAATGTCTCTGAGTGACCCCAATTTTTACTACTGGGGGGAAAGAAATATCTTTCTATCCACTTTCTTAAAAGCACTTATTTATAAGTCTCATGTGTGTATGTGTAACCTAAAAAGGACCAAACTTTTTAATCTTTCCTTATAAGGAAGGATCTGCACTTATGTTCATATTAATTTTTGATACTCTTTTCCATACCCTTTTTAGTTACACAATATATACGTTTTGCAGTGGGGCAACTGGAACTCTACACACTGTATATTCTAAACATGATAGATTAAGAAAATTGAATTATGGTACTTGATGTTGTGTTTACTTTTTACTTCCTCACTGCTTGAACATTCAGTGATCTGTTAACAGTGCACTCAAAGTAGTTGCTTTTTTGTGTGTTGTTTCTGTCCCAAGATCTCTCTCTTTGTATGGGAATCCCATTTGCCACATGGAGTTTGTTGCCCACCCACCGAGGCTTGGGGAGGTTCCTTTGGAAGTCTTTATAGTGTGCTTGGAATTTCACCATCTGAAATAATGCGATTTTGGCATTTGGGTTATTCAGGCTGTTTCTACCCCCCCACCTGAATCAGCCTAGCCACCATTGGTTCGCTTCTGCCTGATCCCATCTGCTGACTGGCCCTTTTTTGCCTCCCTGTAGAATAGCTGACCATACATCTTTTACTTCCTGCTGTCACAGTTACTTAACAGTAATAGAATGTGCATCCAGACACTCCTCACCATCTGCTATGCCAAAGTGGCATGGAAGTCAATATTCCTGCAAGAACAGAAATTAACAAAAATAGGTGAAGCAGACAGACCAATAAAGTCCAGAATTTCAATACATCTTAAAGAAAATATGACTTCTCATCAGTCTTGAATTAGACAAAGTTATAATTTCCTGGGACACTGAACCTTGTGACTTGCTGTTGGCATCCATCTGTCTCGATAGACAATGGTGAAGTCAAATGGTTGTGTTAGAGGCACTGAAGTGACCTGCCTGGGGTGCAAACCTGGGCAGTGTGTCTGGTGGTCCTAGGCTGACCAGACAAGACCTCCCTTTTGGCCTCACTGATGTGGTCCAAAGGAAAGCAGTTGCCACCAGCTTGGCTGCAGGAGTTGCCAGAAGGAGGTGTACAAGGCACCCTCAAACCATCTTAGGGACTCCACTCTGGATTCGTGTAGGGTTTACCCCTGAGTCTTTTCTTCTCCCAAAGATATCCTGCAAGACAGCGGAAGTTTCAGATCAGATTCTTCCTTCTCCTATTTATTTATTTTTTATATTTATTAAAATTTTCAGAATATTACAAAATAAAAAAAGAAAAAAGAAAAATACAAAATAAAAATGGTTAAAAACAATTCATTCTTTCCATTACTTATCTTTCATTTGCTTATTTCCCGGACCTCCTCACGCCTCCCTTTTTTGTATTCCAGTTCAGTTTGTTAGTTCAGCAAATCCCTCCCCTCTTTGTATATCCTAGTCTTTAATCATAAAATATTGTAACATTAAATTTTTACCTATTAATAATCCAATTTTTCATATTCCCTTATAACATTACAGCTAAAGACCACTTAGTTTCTATCCAACATCATTCTAACATTCATTAATTTTGCAATATTTCTGTAAACTTTTTCCAGTCTTCTTCCATCAACTCTTCTCCCTGGTCTCGGATTCTGCCAGTCATTTCCGCCAATTCCATATAGTCCATCACCTTCATCTGCCATTCTTCCAGAGTGGGTAGATCTTGTGTCTTCCAGTACTTTGCAATAAGTATTCTTGCTGCTGTTGTGGCATACATAAAGAAAATTCTGTCCTTCTTTGGCACGAACTGGCCGACTATGCCCAGCAGGAAGGCCTCTGGTTTCTTTAGAAAGGTATATTTAAATACCTTTTTCATTTCATTATAAATCATAGATTCTTCCTTCTCCTAGATGGGCTACCTTCTCGGGTTGACAAGCCTCATCTGCCTCTCACTTCCCTCTACAACGCATGCAAAAACACCTTTTTGACCACTGGATGCACTACTGGTCTCATCCACTCAATCCACAAGAGGCTGTCTGTATATGCAGGGGAAGTCCCTAGCTCATCAAGGGTTTGAGACCCATCAGCTTCCCTCACCTGATTTAGCTGGCCACTCAAAACCACTTCGCAGGGTGTGGCAACTGTTGCTCTGTGGAAACTTGTAACAAAGTTGTTAAAAATATATACAGTATTTAAAGAATCCTTATCATTTTATGATTAGCAAGCAGATTTTGCTTGCAAGTGTAACAAGGACTGGATTCCTGTGTCAATTCCCTTGAGTCAGAGATGGGTATACAACCCTAAATGAATTGCACAAAAAGCAGCTGTTGCAGATGTGGTTAGGGAAGGAGAACCACCTTATTCTTTTGATTGTAAATGGTTTTAACGGATTTTAATATTGTATTTTTATATTGTTGTAACCTGATTTTGGGGTCCTTTTGGTGAAGGGTGGGTAAGAAATCAAATAAACAACAGTGATTTTAAAAACCTGAATAAATTAGCCAAAGAACATAGCTTTGAAACATATAAGACTTCCAATCTTGATAAATAGGGCTGGTTAGTTAGTTAGTTAGTTAACTTTCTAGCCAAGCCAAAACCTTAGGGCAGGTGATAACAAGTTAAACTGTTAATTTTGCCAAATAAAATCCACTTAAAACAGATAAACCATATCAAAAATAGAAAAGAAGTAGGTTCTCAGCCAATCTCATATGAGGATAGGTTAAGTGCAAAATGAGATTTGGATTTGTCCACAAAGAAAGATTAGGACTAATTGTATGCTGAACCCAGTCTAGTGTCAAAGCTCTTTCTTACTGTCTTTCACAATTGTGGGATAAACACATAAAAATGCCAGCAATCCAGATATGAGTCAAGTGAGTCTTCTTTGAGATCTAACAGAATCACTATGCCTTTCATCAACAATACAGAGAAACACCAAAATGCCTCAGCTAGATGTATTCATATTGACATACATTGGATGGTGTGAATTTGGTGAGACATCAGAAGTGTTTTCCCTGGTCGCAAAACACACCTGCCCAAAGCCTCATACTTGTTCAGGGACTGGGCAGAGGAGGAATGGTGGAGACTGCCTCCCCAGCTTGACCCTTCCAGAGAAGAGGAAGACAGTTTAGATTTACAACAGGGGTTTGAGGGGGGTCACAGCTCAGAGGCAGATGAGGGGGAAAACTGGGAAATAATGGGAGAGGAGGAGGAAGCACCTATACACCTAACTGTGAAGACATGTTAATATATTAAATGTTAATAAACTCAATGGTGTAACGTTGGAAAATGTAGATTACTTTCCTACCTAGGCAGTTATCTTTCCACAAGGGCCAACATTGATGCTGAAATCCAGCACTGCCTGAGCTCTGCGAGTGTGGCTTTCTCCCGATTGAAGTGCAGAGTGTTTGAGGACCGGGACATTCACACAGAAACCAAAATGCTTGTTTAAAAAGCTACTGTACTACCAACCTTACTATATGCTTGTGAAACATGGACCATTTATCTCCAACTCCTTGAAAGATTCCATCAACGGTGTCTCCGAAAAATTTTGCACATCACTTGGGAAGACAGGCAAACTATCAGCGTACTGGAAGAAGCAAAGATCACCAGTCTTCAAGCAATGATTCTTCAACATCAACTTCTTCAGACTGGTCATGTTGTGCGGATGCCTGATGATCATCTTCCAAAGCAACTACTCTATTCCGAACTTAAAAATGGAAAGCGTAATGCTGGTGGTCAACAAAAGAGGTTTAAAGACTGTCTTAAGGCAAATCTAAAAAAATGTAGCATAAACACTGACAACTGGGAATCACTGGCCTGCGAGTGCTCCAGTTGGAGAACAGCCTTTACCAAAGGTGCCATGGGCTTTGAAGACACTCGAACTCAGGACGCAAGGGAGAAATATACTAAGAGGAAGGCACACTTGGCAAATCCACACCGTGATTACCTCCCGCCTGGAAACCAATGTCCCCCTGTGGAAGGACATGTGGATCCAGAATTGGCCTCCACTGTCACTTACGGACTCATTGTTAAAACCATGTTTGTGGAAGACAATCTTACTTGGCTAGGAGTGATTGCCAAAGAAGAAGATACTAAACTGGAATGTAGCTGGAGAATATTTTTATTTTTACCTGTATCCTGCAGGACTTCATGAGAATTCAGACAGGCGGCTTGTGTCCTTGGCTACAACGATGCAGATGGCTAGAGGTATTGTACTGTCACTAGTTATTTCAAGCAAAAAACTTGTCCCCACGTAATGGAAAGAGATGAGACTAGCTCGGAACATAATGACAAAAGGAAAGGAACAAGTACACAGAGAGAAACCCCTCATTTGCAGGTCTGGGCATTCAAAATTGTGCTCCTTCATGTTGTAGGAACAATTAACACACTTGTTAGTGCTTCCTGGAGTGAACTGGCTTCTAAAAATCAGCACTTTAAGTTACTGATTGTGATGCTGAGAAATCAGCAATGGCAGTACTAGCAAAAACAAAATCACTTGACGGTAAGGTTGGAGAAAGGCTGCCTGGTTCTTCTAGGAAAGTCTGGTGTCTGGAAAGGTCCTCAGGCTCTGTTTATACACCATGGTCCTTTGGACAAATGAAGCCTAAGGCATTTCTCTGGGTGGGTGCGTTAAGTATGTAATTTAAGAATAAACTCAGGAGCTTGACAAAGTGTTCTGCTATGTATTTACAGTGTTATGATTACACCTCTGGTTTATTAATGAGTTCTCTGTGTATTTTCTGTCTTGGCTGATAGAAAGGAAGTAAGATATATAGCACAGAATATAAACTTCCAGGACCATAAAATGTGAAATGTGTAATTTATGAAGTGTTATGAGATCTGATTTCTTTATTTTTATTTTCTATTCTGAGGTTTAAGGATACGTGAGGCTATAAATATAAAATAAATTAATACTTTAAAAAATGTCAGCAAAACTTTGTTCACATTCCAGTGAATGTGGCTCAGGAGCAAACAAATATTAAAACTATTATTTGCTTCATCATTAGCTTTGAATTGGCCAGTCCACAAAGATACAAGGGCCATTTTGGTTGGCCCCTCCTGCATGCAGCCCATCTGCGAAACAGCTGGGGGGGCTGCTGGGGGGGCAACAGCAGGAATACCATCTATGCAGATGGAAAGGAACAAGTAACAGGACAGCAATAGAGGATATGTTGGTGTTGTTGGTGGTGGTGTTGTTTGTAGGAATAAAATGTGATCTTGTTGACTTACAACCCCTCAAAAAAAGTAGTGAATTTTGCATAGGAACTGCATGAAACATAGAAAGGCAGACAGAAACTGTTCTGCAAGCTCCAGACATTTGCCTTTTAGATTTTTAGTTTAATTATATATCCTTTTTACATTTTAAATACAACTAAATAACCCTTTAATACTGAATATGCAACAAAAAAGATTAATTTTGTCAAATTCTACATTCCCAGAGTCCTTCTAATTTAAAATATTTTGAAAAAATCAGATTCACTGCAGAGGCTTGGGTTTTTTTATTTTTTTAAATGTAATATAATGACCATCCCTAAAAACCCAGAGGAGCATAGCAGGGTATTACTTCATACCTTATACAAAGCAAGCAAACAAAGTAAGTAAACAAGAAATAATAATAGTAATAATAATAATAATAATAATAATAAATTGTATGTTGGTTTGTTACCAGCTTCACTGCAGACCTGAAATGCATTTCCTGTTTTCTAATAAAATAGCAGCATGCTTCATACTCTGAAGTAGTTCAATGGAAAACCCTCCAAGACAACAGTTTTGAAGCAGGGAAAGCTCAAAACAGGGGAATTGAACTTCTTCTATTGTTCAATACAAAATTTGCCTTTTAATATGTCTTTTAAGTCTATTTCTGCTCAGGCATGGGTACTTGACTTCTAACCCTGATACAACATGCAATCTTATTTGGAACTAATTTCAGACAAAAGCATGGTCAGGCAGGATGTACTCTATATGATTGTGTTCTTGCTCTGAAGCAACCCCCCCCCCCCAAAAAAACCTGTTTTTGTAATGTCTTATTTCTTGCCTTTGTGAAGTTGATCAGAAAATGCTATTATCTAGCATAGAGTGCGTGCATGCTGAGCCTTCTGACATTCTTGAGAGTATGCTGGAAATGGAACTCTAAGTTTAAAGGAAGAAAGATCTTAAACCAAAATGCACTTCTTCAAGGATAATACTGTATGTTGAGATAACAACTACCATTCATGCAGAGTACTGGGAAGAAAAAGGACAGCTCTGTATTTTTCTTACATTCCTCGGCAATCATGGCTAGAAGCTCTGAATTGCCCAG